GATAGTTATAGCGCGAGAACAAAACGACGACACAGAGACATACCAACTAGCCCAAGCTGCCACACTTCTAAGTCAGATGCAAGTCGGGAAGGGACGAAGCGTCGTATTCGCCATGTGGCACAGCTGGTGAACGCACGTAACAGTTTTCAGGGCTAGATGAATGAAGTCGCCGCAATTTATTCGGCTCGAAGATTGGCAAGGAGGGTCACTTTGTTGAGGCAGTTCAAGAAAGAACAGACGGTTGAAGCAATCAATAAACGAGGAATTGGCAGAGAAAAAATCGCCACGTAACAATATGTCGCTTTCATTTACATCATAGACCACTGCGCACCGGATTATGAAATAGATTAGTTATAGTGGTGTAGACTTTATTCGTTTTATATTTTACCAATACAATAGTGCCCTCAAAAATTCGAAATTTTAGCATCAACTAGGGGCTGTCCAGAGAGCCTGCGTTGTGGCAGTTAAGTTACGTCTGACTGTCCCCACATGAGATCGGCCCGTGGTCTCGCCCTTAGGGGTGGCACTATTCCGGATCTTCAAAGAATGTTTTTCGTACCATACCGTACAATACTGCAGACCCTAAAAGATCGACAATTAATAAGGACAAATTTAAAATACACAAAACAAGTATATATATATATATATATATATATATATATATATATATATATATATATATATGTATATGTCCATGGTATTTGGAGTGAACACAATCCACACAAACGAATATTTGCTCCTGTTTTCTCAAGGTAGCATGGTAAGGCTCTTTTAATGAAAAACAAATTTGAAGGAAATTATATATATGAATTCGAACTTCCACAACGAATAACAGTTAACTTGTAACTAACTTGAACAGTTGTACGTGCCGACTAGAAAAGAAAAGAAACTGTAGAACACTTGAAGTGCGCGCTCACGCACTCTGAATAAATTTAGTAGAAGACATGAACATTCCTGACCACCACGCAGAACTTTTGTTGGCCAAAATAAGACGGAATTACTCAGAAAATACGCACTCAAAAGCAATGTTTTTCGATATCACTATCAGGCGTCATTGTTATCTAGAGCTCTATTTCGTACACCTGTAGGAATCATGTCATGATGCTTCTTTCTATTAGAGAATCATGGACACTGGTTCATTGAATAGCCGAGAAAGGCGATGTGGCAGACGTGCGTGTTACTTTGTAAGCGTGCTAAACCGCTTTTCACGGCTGCCAATAACCTCACAGGTACCATGCGCACGATGCTTGGTGTTTCGATCTCTTCGCATTGTATATTGCCAGCAACGAAATTGAACATGCCACCATTGTGCTGCTCGAACTTGCTGAATAGAGAAGCTTAAGGTGACCTCACGCAATCGCCTCCACGTCGCAATATAATAATAACGTATTTGAGCTTTTGTATGAAGGTAACAGCGTTTTTTGTCGTAATGTTCTTGGTTTTTTGTCTTTTACCAAAACGGGAACTCAAAAAACTTTTCTCGCATAAAAATTCAGTGGTGCTGACCAGCCAACGTCCCTAATTATCACCAATCCGCACCATTCTCCACAAATCAGGGCTCGACGATAACACTCTGCTGCACACCTTAAAGCAACACTATGTATCCACGGGCCCCCGTCCCGCCTACCGTGATTATCCACACGTACACAATACGCCTCTAGATGAGGACATTACAGAAGCAGAGGTTAGGGCAGCTTTGCAAAGCATTAAGCGCAACACAGTACCCGGTACAGACGGGATTACGTACACAATTCTGCGTAATTTAGATGACCAGTCCATCAAATATTTAACCGCTTTTTACAACGAACATTGGAAAAACGGCACGCTACCACAGGAGTGGCGACACGCAGAAATCATACTTATTCCAAAGCCTGGCAAGCCGCTATCCCTCCAGAATCTACGCCCTATATCCTTAACTTCATGTGTAGCTAAACTCTTTGAACACGTTGTTCTCTCTCGACTACAACCATTTCTCGAAGACAATCACTTTTTTTCTGATACACTATTCGGATACCGTCCTGGTATCTCTACACAGGACGTATTATTACAGCTTAAGGAGGACGTGTTGGATAGCCCCACTTCAAACCAGGTCCGAGCTATTCTGGCCCTGGATCTGAAGGGTGCTTTTGACAACGTCTCCCACGACCTTATTTTTGACAATCTCGTTTAATCTCAGTGTGGCTCACGTATCTACAATTACGTCAGGTCCTTTCTTTCTGACCGCACGGCCACTATTGGGATTAGAGACCTCCGTTCGGACGTCATTCATCTCGCAGGCAGAGGAACACCACAGGGCTCGGTTCTCTCGCCCACTTTGTTCAACGTGGCTATGGCTAAACTCCCCGGCAGCCTTACGTGCTCAGTGGATAAGTCGGAGTTGTTATTGGTATACAAGCGGTGCCGCAAAACTGCTGATTCTCCTGGCATTTCGCTGTTTCTTGATGGCCATCCTATCCCTCTGGTACCACGAATTCGCATTTTAGGCCTCTACCTTCAGTCCGACGGCAAGGCCTCGCACACTACACACCTTCTGGCTCAGCAGATAACTCAAATTACACACATGATCCAACGCATCACCAATCGCAGGAGAGGCCTCTGTGAGAAGTATGTCCTCCGCTTAGTACAAGCACTCATAGTTAGTCGGCTCACCTATCATCTTCCCTTTCAGAATCTCACTCTAGCTCAAATAAAAAAGATGGTCATCCTTCTACGGAGAGCTGTGAAGGTGGCTATCGGCTTGCCTCCACACGCATCTACACAACGCTTCCTTTAATTAGGAGTCCACAACACCATACCCGAACTCATCAAGGCCCAGAACAACAGTCTGCTCCAACGGCTCAGGCAGACCCGTCAGGGCTGCGCCATCCTGTCTCGTCTCGGCTACCCGATTCCTCAAAAACCCGCACAAGTACCACAACATAAACTTGCTTCTACTGTCCGCGTACTCATCAAAGTGCCTCCGATTCCACGCAATATGAATCCCTCCCGCCATGCCGGTCGTCAACGTGCCCGAGTTCAGGCTATGACACGCGTCTTTGGTGATGGTACATCAGACTTACAAGTACTTTACACTGATGCAGCACGCTACCCAGAGAAGTCAGCCATGTGTTTAGCCGTGACAGATGACACAGACGCCCTTGTGGCGTCTGCCACACTTTGCACTACAGACAGTGGTCTGGCAGAGGAGGGAGCTGTCGCTCTGGCAATTGTTCACGCTACGACACTGTCACATGACTCACCTGTCACTATTGTAACAGATTCACAAGCTGCTTGCCGTGCTTTCGCTCAAGGACTTGTGGCTGCACATACACACAATATCCTCTCTCCTGTCTCACCATCCGCATTACGTCCTGTGCGTATCGTCTGGACTCCTGGAAACGCCTCTCTCCATGGTAATGAACGCGTTCATGCGGTTGCCCGAGAGCTGACCGGCCGCGATCCATTGGAAGAGCTGTCCAATCCAGACGACGCATCGACAGAACCACTAAACTACAACGCTACGCTGCAGTACTATCGATAGAGCCGTTATACGTATCCTCCCCCTCATCCTTCACTTAACAGAGCAGATGCTGTCACTTGGCGGCAACTACAGACCAATTCATTTCCTTGCCTTTATATGTTAAATCGCTTTCATCCGACTCTCTACCCCTCCTACTGCCCCTTCTGTGGATCCGTACCGACGGTGTACCACTCCACGTGGGAATGCTCTGCCCCACAGGGCGTGCCTCCCATTCCCAATCCCACCCCTTCCTCTTGGGAGTCTGCACTGCTCAGCTTACGCCGGCAGGAACAGCAGTAGCTGGTCCAGCGGGCCCGCAGGGTTGCGCAAGGCAATGGAGCCCTGGACTAAGGGCCCCACCCAAAGAAGGCTCAGTGTGCATTTGTTATTAATAAATGTTTATTCTCTCTCTCTCTCTCTCCCTAATTATTTGTGATGCGTACTTATTTGCTGAAAGGTTCTTCTGAAAAACAACCCAAACGTGAGGCCCCCTTTTCTTACTGGAAAGTGTTTGCTGGTGGGGACCACCAAAAGTACTATTTCTAAACTACTATTTTCATCACGGAAATGTGAAAAAAAGTGCACAGGGCCATATGGCGGAAAAAATGTTCTGTCAACGCAATCAGTCCACGAGAACAGAAACAGCGCAAGCTATCCACTCTGCCACGGTCAACCTTCTTCTTCTGCGCCACCATCTCTTGAGAGGCTTTAGAAGCACGCTTTTAATATCACTTTTCCTTCTCAAAGTGCTTCTAGGAGCGCACTGGAAGAGGTAAAGGGAAGTAATGCATCATAATTCTAGACTCCGCGATCAGCTCCTACAACACCTGAACCCATGTGGTGATGGCCAACTTTGTCCAAGAGTCCGCGTCGCTCATACCATCCCCGGATACCACTAATAGCTCTGCGATTTTCGCCTGCCGCACTTGACTGTAACATCACGTTTCACGCTTGCGCCCACCCTGAAAAAAATCGCGCATGTGGTACAGTAGTGACCTGACGCGCGTTGTATTCACGTTTAGGGTAACCATGATGTTCATTAACTATTCAACAAGCCATGGGACGGCGACCTTAGCCCAGATATTGTGTTTCATGTGCGACGCTTGTCTGAACGTCGCACCATTTTTTTTTCTTGACGACGCCCTCACCGTGAAGTACTACATCTAAACGACATTGGTATCTTTATTTATTGTTCACGGACGTTATTCATCAGTATAAAAATGCACCGGCGTGCGTAAAGGTGGTTGAATCCGACTTTAATGATGCTATAGATGTTAAACATCAAAAAGAATCGTGCAAGCCCTCTCATAGCACGGTACAGAAAGCGCGTACTTTTGGACGGACTTATTTTACTTTCATGTTATCGCAGGCGATATGACGCAGGGATCAGCGACGTTTACTTATGTAACGTGCTCTTCGCACAGTATTTATGTGTGGAAGGTGTACAGCAGAAGTTTTGCCAGAGAAATTCAGGGATAGTTGAATGAAGGATCCAATTTTTGTTACTGAGTTTATTCTCGAGTGAAGCATTTATTTTGAAATTCGGAAACTTCATTTTTCAACTGAGTGCAACAGGTATTCACTGCTTATTGCACGGGCGATTTGTTTCACCCGCAGTCCTGGATCTTTGATTGGTGAACGGGAGTTTCGACCTTGCGTACTTGGCCAGGGAATCCAGGCGTTCAAACGCCCGGCCTTGCTCGTTGTCGTCGCCGCCTATAAGTGGAATGCAATGCAAAACACTAAAGTTTTAGCTCCCTCTTCAGATTTCAACAAATTTAGAATACTCAGTGGTTTATTTTGAAGACAAAACGAAATACTGATGAGGCACATAGCAGTATTATAAGCCTTGAATACTTTTGGAAAGAGATATTTTTTTTTCGGTGGTAAACGAAGTACGCTCTCTGGACGGACTAGAAGACCTTATGAATGAATAAAGCGAGCCAATGGGAGATATCGTCAGTCCCGTGCACATCTTGAGTCTTCTTCGTACAGTGGTCACCTAAGAGCTTCCTAATCAGGTTGTAAACAGCAGTATTGTGACCATTACTGTAACTTCTTATGTGTATCCCGCAGGCCAGTGATGAATATGCAGTACGGGCTATATTGCAATAACACGTATGCTGTTTGAAAAATGCAGTGTCACTGTTACATGTATAATGCGCTGTTCCAGTGCATACTATTTGGACAAGACACAAGTCTTATCAAGATGGATTCGAGGTACATACAGGGGTAACATCAAAGAAAAAAATCAGAGTTTAAAGTCTTAATAATAATTCTCGGGGTTTGCGTCTCAATAACACAATATGATTACGGGGGGAGGACTCCGGAAATTTCAACCAGCTGGGATTCTTCAACATGCTTCTAAATGTAAGTACCAGATCCTAAAGCATTCCACTTATAACCAGGTTTGGTCGCCACTTCAGGGATTCAAATCCCTCGCGCCCAAGTCGGCAGTCGAGTACCACAACTACTAGGCCACCTTGTGAGGTGACTAAATGTTGAAATAAACATACGATAACATGGCGCAGCAACCATCCGCTACCTTACTCAACCCAAACCAACCAACTGAAGTGTGACCATTTGGCGCTTCGTGTAGTTACCTCTTTCCCCGAAAGTGGGCCTACTTGAATCCATGACACCACGTTTGTTATACCGAAAGTGGTCCTGGTCTCGATGTTGTTGACCATTACATCCAACTTCGCTGGATAGCGCCTCATTCGAGCTCTGGAAAAAGACATAGACGATGACATACCCTTTTTTATTAGTTTACCTAATGTTCGCTGAGATGAGAATCTTTAAAGCTCTTTGAAAGCCGAAATTGGAAATTTAACCTCACCGCACTGAGCAGTAGGCTTAGTCGGTAAATACTTCTTAGGAAAAGTGCACGCAAGGGCCTAAGGTGAAACAGATTAACATCGTTATTTTTTTATGTGCTTCACCCGACATCTTTGCGGGCTTATCTCCTCAGAAGCACGAATTTCATTGCTTATATTCACATTGATTCAATGAGAACGACAGATTCTTTGACAAAGAGGAGAGGAAGAGGCAAGAATGTCATGACTTAGGACGTGCTTGATACGTACAGTAACTCAGTTGACGCACTTCCTTAAAAAATCCAAGTAAAGACCTCGTGCATACGGCTGCTTAAGGGCCACGTCATGTCCACCTGATCTGCTTCTTTAGTACATCCTGTATCTGTGGTGCGTAGTGTGAATGCTGTATTTAGCTTCGGAATGCTCGTATCGAAGAACATGTCGGCTCAGCTACCAGACGAATACAAACGAGTCCATGAAGTTCGTAGATGCCGTTCTCAAGCCTTGCCTCTGAGACAACTGGCGTTCACAGTAAATTTCTTTTTTTTTGTAAAAAATATCAGTTAGTATGAGGCAACCATTAGCGGCCTGCTGTGTGTCGCGCAATTAATGCGGCTGATGCAGAGCGTGGAGGCAGTTCCCGACCCGTCAACAAACGAAGCTAATCGGTTCCGCGTAGGTGAACGCGGGAGATGTGCGCACGGGAAATAAAGGAGACTTCTTCGTTTCCACTGTTCACGAGCGGAGCCGTCAAGGTCACCCCGTTTGGAACTAGAATGGGAGGGCTTACTCGGACGAGTGTCTGGCAAGAAGCTGGCCAGGTGCCGCCGTCTCAGTTTAAGTCATTGTTGGCATACACGTGTGTTGAGAATGCCGCAGAGACGCGCCCACTGAGCTCACCATGGTTGTGGCACGTAGACGAGCATATCCTCCCCCGCTATACGTCATTACCAAGTCTTCTTAGGATGGCGGGGCGCCTCACTGTCGCATGCACTCCTGGTAAGCGCACAGGGCTTAATGGTGTACACACCGCTCTTAATGAGGCTTCTACGAAGCAACATTTATTGAGCGAGCTGATGGGGCTCTAGCGTGAGAATGGCCACCGACGGAGGTCAGCGTGATATGAGAGAGAGTGCGACACGGGGAAAACCTATCCCCTCTCGTGTTGTATTTCGTAACGTAATTTTTGCCAATGCGGTGCTTGTTGTGGAAGTGTTTTTGCGATTGGTTGTGGTGATGCTAGCCCACACATGTGATTAGATTGTGTCGAGACCCTTTGTTCAACCGATGGTTGAAAAGAAGATGTGTGAATGCGAAATATGAGCATAGGTTCGGGCTTGGACTCGAGCAGACGCCTGAGGCTGCAATAAAGCGTCTCTTCACCGGACTACGGCTCTTCCTTCGCGTTGCCACCGTGCACTCGAGTCATCGAGGGGACCCATTCCGAACCTCAAACACCTTCCCTCCTTAGCTAGTGTTGAAGATAGTCGAGGAAGAGGAAATTATATTACTGCACGATTTAAGACATTCTGAACTTACAGGCGTGTTATTAACCAGGCTTAATTGCAATGATTTATTAGCGACATAAACATGGTGTTTCTAAGAGTACGTCCCGAATGGTAGGTGCCAAAAACACAATTTGATAACGAGACACACTGTAGTTGAGCGATTCGAGAAATAAAAACCATCGTAAAATCTAGCGGGGGTATACGAGAGAAGAAAAAATGCAACATGACTTCTCTCGTTTTCCCGCGGTGTGTTTCACGATAAACCCATGCCGAAAAGCTCAAGTTTCTATCCTTTTATAGAAATAAGACCAGCCTGGTTACGTGTACCTAAATAGAAGTACATGGCGCCTCCAGGGTTTCGTCTTCATTCAAAAGGTGACTGCCGTAGTCTGTATCGAGGTCGCGACCTTCGAGTCGGCTAACGCATGCGGGGAGGGGTAACTAATGTTTGACTGCGGCATTTGGTGTGAGAGAAGTTCATGCACGTCACGCATTTGTACCGCCATTGAGTGAAACAATTGTGTGTAACACTATCGTGGTCATTTAGGCCCAGAAAGAACGAATATTACACAAGTACACAAATGGAAATATGAACTTAAAGAAAAAAAAAACAGAACAAAAAAAGCATTGATACTTTATTGATTTTCAGAAAAACCTGACCACCCAATCCCATGAAGGAGGCTGCGTCTAAGTAATTTATCTAGGCGTTACACGGTTAGATCTAAGCGAGGCTGTGTGTATCTGTTAAACAGTGTATGCTTATCGCCAATACAGTATCTAACTTACCGTGGTACTTTCACGGCAGCCGTTTTCGTTTTCCTGTGATCTAATTGCTGTAGAAAGAAACAAAAATAAGTTATTGTGGTATGCAATTTTTTATCTAGCGTGCGGATCTTCAGAACGCGCGTTAATCACGTAGCGAGCATACGTACAATAATTGTTGATAAGCTCATTTCATAACACCTGTAATCCTTGGTTACCCTTTAAAAGGCATGGACTAAAGGACCGCGATGTGGTCGTGGCACTGGGCGGAGGCCACTGTGGAAAGTTGTTCGCGAGCAACCTGGAGGGTGCGTAATGGTAATAAGTAGAAAATATTTTAACAGGTCACATCTAGACTTTATCGACGCATCTTGGAGACAATCACGATTACATAATAAAAAAACATAAAACATAATTAACAAAAATATGTAGCCAACTAGACAAAGCAAAAAAAAACTGCTCAAATTTTAGAAATATGATTATTCTCTTGTTTCTAATCTTATATGCACGTTGTTTTTGTCCTATCATCCCTCTTAGGCCATGAAATACAATCTTGTAACGCGTCCGGTTTGTTTTGCTGTCTGCCAGGCTCTGCCACTCAAGCCACCAATTGGCTTTGGCAGGCCTAGTCACAGGTACTGTTTTATTTGAAGAAATAAAATGTATTATTATTATTATTATTATTATTATTATTATTATTATTATTATTATTATTATTGTTGTTGTTATTATTATTATTACTGTTATTATTATTCCGATTACTGAACTGAATAACTAATCTTACGATATATAGTTATATAACTGAAGGCCTAAACCGATGAAGTATTGGTAAGCAAGCTTTAAAATCTGCGCATGATTATGCAAATGAAGGTCTATTACAAAGAATGTATCTTGATCTTGGAAACGAAGTTATTCAAACATTCAAAATGAGCCATAATGCACACGATGGCAGGTAATGCACCGTTGTCTCTGAAGAGAGTAGTGTGGAATCTTGTACATTGCCATCACTGATGAATCAGATGAAACATTCAAAATAATAAAGTAGATGAGCAGAAACAACGAAAATCGTTGTTAAACCGAAAATGACAATTGTAACACTAGCATGCGGGTATACCACTGTATATACCTGCGACCATGTCCATCTTTTCTATCTTCTCCTTGCTTCTTGGTGTCCCTGCCCCTGCGCCACGCTCTCTCCTTCCCCTTCTCTATCTCTATGCCTTTAATCCTATCTTGTTAATCCCTCCTTACTCCCATGCCTCATAAGCTACTGTTGAGGGGTCGCACTCTGAAGGAGACAGTTACGGTGCTCACTTTTCCTTTCGTTTCTCTTTAAAAATCACATAAAAACAGGCCAAACAGGAGCAGTCGATATCGTAGCTAAAACGACAAAAACATAAGCCAAGGCGTGGCCTGAAAACGCACGATCAGTGCGAGAGGCTGTATGTATACGAAGAGATGCGAAGTGCCACCAAGGACGCATGAAAGTTAAGCGTCTTCGTCAAATAAAAAAAATTGCTGGCATAATGTAAAATCCTTTGCCTACAGCACAGGGTGAACTACAAGTAACAGCTTTGGTGGAGCACAACCAAAGTAGAGCGTATATTACTTCATGGCAAGATTCGGTGTACTTGAGAAGCTGTTCTTGGTCTTGGTGATGAAAGCTTTAAACTCATGGTACAAAAAAAGGGGGACTCACCACTAGCAAGAACTGCAGAGAATAGCATGAAGAGACATGTCTTCGTTCCAAAATGCATGGCCACTGCAGATTCGAAAAGGCAGAAAGATATCAGGAATGCTTGTTCAATCCTCTTATGTGTTTGCTTTTCACCAAGTAAGTCCATTTTTTTTTTATGGTTTAGCGATAGTTTCCGGCGCATACATTCAGAGTTTTATACTGGTGTTTCAGTGTTTCAGATTTCAACGCATTCAATAAATATATAATAAAAACTCTTACACAATTGAGAGATCGAAGAAAATAAGTAGGGATTCATGTGCCGATATCCAACTAACTTTATTTCAGTGAAAAAGTTCATATATACGCGATGGTGGGTGGGGAACGAAACAAAAAATTGTGCACAAATTCATGACGCATTAAGATGTGCTCATAAAACGTTCTATCAGGTGTGTCCTATAGTCTGGAAGGTAATGAAATTCTTATTAAGCAATACTACACAATAGGGTGTGCTAGGACACCAAGGGTACGCATCAATTGTGCTCCCATCATTTTGTGCGTTAACTAAACTGTTTAGATCAGATGTATTGAGAGAGCTTTGTACAATAAATTGAGGAGCATATGTGGAATATTGCAAGATTATCAAGGTTAGGCTCATTGTCTCAACATATGCTTTCTTGAATCGGGTGAATTTGTACTTCCTATACTATAAAGAGTGTTTTGGTAGAAAATGCCGAAATTCAACGTACCTTTGTGAAAGGCAGAAGGGTGCCCGAGCTTGAAGCTGCGGCCTCGACGAAATAGCCGTTTATAAATCGCCTCGCACTCAGTCGTGTAGAGGAAGAAACCGCAGAATGGTAGCAAAATGATTTCGCTACACGTTATCCTTCAGAACGTTCGCACGAAGAAATCAGCGCCACTGCATAATTTGACATTCCTTGCTTTTATTACGCACGACCCACGCAGGTGCACTATTCTTCATCTGTCCACGATGGGGACAGCGTGCAAGAAAATTTATGAACCAATAATGCACAGCTCCTTGACAGATGCATATTTAGCAAACATTGGTCGCATGAAGCATACGAAGTGTGGACACTTGCGCAAGTTGGTAGGACATGAGCGAATATAAGAACAGCCTAGCTTAAAAGTAGTTACAGCGTAACTACGGAAGTGAAGAAACAAGGAAAGAAAAGAGTGCTGACTTTCATCAATAATTTAGGAGTAGAGCGGTGTACATGCCCCGCCGCAGTGGTCTAGTGGCTAAGGTACTCGGCTGCTGTCCCGCAGGTAGCGGGTTCGAATCCCGGCTGCGGCAGCTGCATTTTCGATGGAGGCGGAAATGTTGTAGGCCCGTGGGCTCAGATTTGGGTGCACGTTAAAGAACCCCCGGTGGTCGAAATTTTCGGAGCCCTCCACTACGGCGTCTCTCATAGTCATATGATGGTTTTGGGACGTTAAACTTCACATATTAGTCAATCAATCAATCAATCAATCAATCAATGGAGCGGTGTACATATATAGGCGAAAAAAGAAGAGAATGGGCATGCTTAAAAGGGTGCAGTTTGCAACCACTGAGAAACCATGCCAGCAACTCCTGTCTCTTGTTGATTTAACAAATACATAGCTTAAAATGATGGAGATACGAATTCTCTTTCTGCAATAGCGCAACTGATGGGGAACTTACACATGTACTGTCAAACTTGCTTATGTGATAGGCTTCAATTATCTCAGGCGTGGTCTGTGAGGAGTGCTTGCCTATTACCTGGCAACGCTCAAAGAGGGCAACGCAGGCGCAGTCTTGGCAATGGATTCCGAGGTGTCCTTGGACCTCATTGTGCACATTATTATTGTTCTCTCTTAAACGATCATTCAATAACTTTCCGGTTTGGCTAATGTATATCATACCGCAGAATAGTGGAATAAGATATGCGACACCAATAACACTAGGCATGAAGTGAATACTGTTTCACGGAGCATTTTACTCTATTTGCAGACTGGATGATTCACTAACCAACAAAGCTTTGATAGCTTTTCTGGGGCGGTAAAATAAAACAGTGATACCAGCTCGCTTCCCAATTTCCTTCAGCCTATTCAAAACGTTGTGCAGATAAAGGACTGCAACACAGTTCTTAGGAACTGACGCAGTTTGAGACTGATATTGCCCTCATTGATTTTCGATTTGTTTGAAAAGCTTTTCGCAACAGCAGGATTCAGGGCCTTCAAGTAACCAGCGCTTAAAGGGCCACTCACCAGGTTTTATAATTTTAGACTGACAAACGCAATGCGTAGACGAGGCGTTCATGATCACGTCTGCCAAAATTTGCAACGCTACGTGCCGTGGAAATGGGTCAAATTTGAAGGTGAACGCTGCTCCCACTCTTTTTTGCCGGCGCGCGCCCAGAAAATGAGGGCATGACGTGTGCGTAGGAATGGCCCTACGTACACGGCAACGCTGTGAAGTTGGTCCTCTACGTAGATGACTCTACTCTGACGTTGCAAACAGTGGCGCGTGACATGGCAAAAATTATCTCACGCGCATGCGTAGTTTATGTAGTTTGTTGCTTGAATAGATAAATAAAGCTCCACATAAATAATGAGACGCAATAAGGGAATGTGAGCGTCTTCTTTCCGTTTTTTCCTGTGAATTGCAACGCGATGTTGGGCTAATGTGTTGGCGTTTCGCGTCCGTTTGTGTCCCTGTGGTCAGTGCGTCGAGCAGACGACCACCATAGAACGCTCCTACGCGTTCGCGCACTCATTGTGCTCATCTATTCTACCGCGTCTAAGCCAGCATTTCCAAACCATCTCGCAGAAACATGCAGAAAACGACAAAATAACGCTGGTCAACAAAGCAACGCCACTCGTGTGCTCAAGGCGCGGACTTGTTTGGGCACGTCGTGCGCACGTGACCTCTTGGTCGGATGCCGGAGAGGGTAGGGAAGAGATTTGGCTTGCGAAGGTTACGCGGAGGAGCGCCAAGGGTTTTGAGCTCACCTCCTCTCATCCTCGTACATTCCGCTTCAAAAAACCCGTTTTGTCCACTCGTGATGAACCGATTCAAAAAATTTTTGTGGCAAAATGTTCCTCATCGGTCACCCAACAACTTCCACTGTCTAACTGAAATTCGGTGTGGGGCCTGGTGAGTGGCTCTTTAAAGGTGGGAAGTAGACACGAAGCGCAAGCCTTAAGAAAGTGTGCGTGTGCCTCCTCTTGTTCAGTCCTTGGAATGTCCGCTGGATGGCGGTGCTTCTGTATGAGGAATATATGATGAAAAGATGCGAGATGGCGGTACTTGGAGTGTTGAATAGGTGGACGAACGGACACACAGACAGATCCATGGACGGACGCACGGATGGCTGCATGGACGGATGAACGCATGGACGGACGCATGAGCGGATGCATGGACGAAAGCAGGGACGGACGCACAGATGAACGTGCGGACGCACGAACAGACACGCGCACAAACGGGCGGACGGACGCACGGGCGGCCACACAGACGCACGCATGGATGGGCGGAAGCAAGAACGAATGGACTGACGGATGCTTCACCTCACTATCAATCATTCACTCCGTGGATACGCAGCCATTTCTTTATTCCTCCTTGGTAAAGGGCGATGAGGATAAGAGAAGAAACTTGAGATTCAAGCAGAGAGAACAAGGGCAAATTTCAAGAACACAATGATGGATTACATCTGTAACGTCTGGCTTCACTGCGCAGCCACCAATACTAGTAGTAGCAGAACAAAAGTAGTGGGAGCCACAGCAGCAACAACGGCCATTGAACAATTTTCTTCCTTGACCTGCGAGATGAAAGACATGCTTGGTTGAACTGGGCCTCGCTAGACGGTATGAGTTGTCCAGTTCACCTTTTGAGCCACTCGTGCCATTCCCCATAGTAACGTCCAATGGTACTTTTTTTCATGAATCAAGCAGAAACGAACAGGCAGCATTTTATTACACCTCTTCATGCACGGAAGGTTCCTTGTTTAGTGCAACTAGTTCGATTACTAGTGAATAATTTTAGGTGGTACCTCTGATGTAATAGGGGTCATTTTGCGAATGTCCTATCGCAGCGCATCTGTTATCGTGCGTTTACCTTAATTTATCGGTAAGTAGCGCACTGCTCTTGGTAATATTGTCGATTTAAACGTTGTGATGCATTGCGTTTTCAATCTGTCATTAAACATTTGTTTGAATTTAGTGCCCCTTTACCGACGTACCTCGAAGAAAATTATTTCGCTTTTCTGTAACACAACTCAAAGACAGTTGTGGCAGCCATCACCAGCGTTCAGAAAGAAGGCCTTCATTATTTTTTCTGCCGTGTCATCTTAGTGCATACTTAGAGCTGCTCTCTTATGAAATGGTGCAAAGAAATCGCAAACTTCACAGTGCACAACTAAACACAGCAGAAGCACTTTAAATAAGTGAACGAAAAACACAAGAAAAAAAGTAAATAAAAACTGTACCAGAGGAGCATGCAGGGAATAGTTTTTCAGCTCCGCTAACGTAAAACTTCAGGGAGAATGCAGTGTGCTAGTGTTTCCCGCAGCAACGTCTTTACTCTCTACTGCTTCGTTAGTCACCGGTACACTAACACACCATTACTCTCTTCAAGAAGTGGCCTTTCGAGTAGAATATATCAGCGTAGAGAGGCACGTTCCTACCTGCGGTCTTAGTTATGGAACTTGAGTACCTCGTTAGGAGATTCTCACGACACCGCTAAGCCAAACCTAATATTTTAGCTAACGACGAATCTTTACCTCGTAATACGCATGATATGGAGCGGTTGAGAGTAGCTAGGTTTACCTAATATTTCAGGGGCATACCCGTTCATGTTTAATCGTGACGACGATTTGACCCGCCTAAAAGACGAGACCACGGCGACATCACACGCGAGTACGCCAAGACCCTAGGGTGCTTCAAACCTGAAAAAAAAAGTAGAATCCACCGTCATAGTTTTCGGCACGAAATCAGAGTAAAACGTAGCCTTACTGACTTAGTTGATTGTTTACTGTCCATTGGTGTATGCATAGCTTGCAAAATCTTAATTAATACTTGGAAGCCATATAATGATCTAATCG